GGCCTGTACCCCAGCTGTTGTATGCATACATAAATTTTTTTTAAAAAAAAATGGATCTACCATATGACCCAGCAATTCCACTCCTAGATATCTACCTGAAGAACACAAATACACTAATTTGAAGGGAACACTGCATTCCCTTGTTCATTACAGCACTATTTACTATAACTAAACTAGGAAACAACCTAGGTGCCCGGGGACCACCACCCTGGGCTGATTTCTGCCGACACGACTGCCTACTCCTAGTTTCCAAGTGTGCTTCCCTGCACCCCTCAGCCTGCCTCACCCCAGGGCTCTTGGTTCTACCCTGGTAGCTCGGGAATGTCCTGACCTGGCCATCTATCTAATCTCTTCTAACTGCCAGAAAGGCAGTCAATGCTAGCGGGTATGAGTTGCTAGTAGCAGTGACAAAAATATTCTGGAGCTGACTGTGATGATGGCTGTGAACTTCAAATACACTAAAGGCCCATGCATTGTACACTTAAAAGAGAAGCTCATCCCTCCTTTGCTTGAAATCCTCCAACACAGCCCTGCAGGTTCTTATCACTCCCGCCCTCCTTCAACATACAGGTCCATCCACTACCTGGACTCTTTTTTCTTTTTTTCCCTATTACTTAAAAAAGCTTCATTTTTTTTAGCTTCTAACTTTTCTTGTACCTTCAACACACAATAAGGAAAGCACTTGATCCTGTCAGACACTTTCCCCCCACATGGAGCTACCAGAAGTCATGTTTTTCCTTTTGGACTGTCTCACAAGAACTCCAAGTGGATCTGGGCACATACCACGTGTGGATGTGGGTGTTTCCCCAAGCTCCTTGGTGTAGAGGTAAGCAATGCTACTAGCTGGGGTAGTCTGTTTTCGTTAGAGGCTGTAGTGCAGGGTAATGATGTCAAACACTGGACCATTTTGGTCTCCAGACACCATCCCCAGAAGAGGAAAAAGCTTCTTAAGAAAGCTACTATTCCAGGGTCTCAACCTGCTGTCCCTGGGCCAGAACATTCTTCTCCCAATGACATGGCTCATTCCCATTCCTCACACCCTTCGCTGCTCACGTGGCGGCATCAGAACGGATTCCTCAAGATCTCCAGTAAAACAGCAGCACCCCCCTGACATACTAGAGTCACCACTTACTATCCCCCTACCCTGTTTCACTCCCTGGCCTGTTCCTTTCTATACTTTTTAATTTCGTTTGCTTATTTTCTCCCTTCCCTTGAAAGCGCCTTTGTTTTTATTCACTACCGAATCTACACTTGGTGCCTAGAAAACAAAAGGTCTCCAACAGACATGGAGTAAATATTTGTTTAGATGAATGAGTAATTACCTGGTCTAAACATGACCCAGTCTTGATTCCAGCATTGACACAACCAAAATATGGATTTTAATTTAAGTATTACAAGATCCACTCTGATGTTGATTTGAATGAAATTCATATCTTCAGAAAGTTAATACCTCTGCTGATACAAAGAAAAGATCTGCTCTTCTTGACATTCAGATTTGTTAAAAATGATGACAAGAGCAGCAAAAGACATTTGAACAATTTGGAAAAAGGAGAGTGAGGCAGAAATCTAAGTGACTAACTTGCAAATGCAGGTTGAAAAAAATCAATTCAAAGCTTCCTGATAGTGATAAACCACAGACTATTTTAGAGCAATAATTCTGCCAGACTGTATTGGCATAAAGTGCCAGTAACCTTTTCTGTGGGGACAAAAGTTAAACTATTCCAGATTCAAGACAATGAATGAGATTCACTGTCAGCAGACTTTAGTGTCTCAAAAAAGGATCAAAGTTCATGTACTTATTATATCAATCATTCCAGTTCAAAGTGAGTCACAAAGTAGGTTATATGTTTAATTATTACATTTTGCTCAACTTGAGGTAAAGGGCTTTATCTCACAGATAATTTTTTAAAGCAATTTCTCTGGATAATAGGTAGGGACAGCAAGTTTTTTGTTTTTTGTTTTTTGTTTTTTATCTCAGACATTTATATCCCCAGACCAGAGCCAGCACTTCAAATGTGTATTTGCTGAATGAATGATTCCTGGCTATCAACACCCCCAAGTTATAAATCCATAGAAGTGCCCATCAAATCAAATACATATTGTAGTTTAATATGTTCAGAACATCTGAAAGCAAAACAATTCCCATAGCTACAGTCTCTCCTATAGTGTTAAAACAATCATCTCAAATCCCCTTATCACAATCTTTTCTTAAAGGCAACTAAAAGCCAGACAGACAGAATAGAATATTCAGAGTTTAAAGTATCACCCCACAAATGACTTATTACTAAAGGATTAAGACATCCTTACAGTGTTGAGATCTCACACACACCATCTTCAAATGATCAAACACAGCATTACCAACAAGGCACTCACTGATGTTAAATGTCTCCTGACACATGCACCGGGAAGTGAACATCACTTATGTAGGTAGCATGCTCACCAAAAACATTTAATCTGAATCTAATCATGAAGGAACAATCAGATAAACTTAGATTGTGGAATATTCTATGAAATAATTAACCTGGCTCCTTAAAAAATGTCAGTATCATGAGGGCCTCCCTGGTGGCACAAGGGGTTAAGCACCGCACTGTGAAGCAATCCGCAGTCTTTGCAGCACAAGTTCGATCCCTGGCTGGCCAGGGAGCAACCCACATAGCGTAGCAGATCTCTCCTGACTCGCCCGCTGCTCCCCGCAGCATTGTGCTTTGGTCAATCTGCCTGTTCTGTTCTCCACTGTCTCTGGTGAATCCTCTTGCCCCCCCCACATCTCTGGCCTGTACCCCTGCTCTTGTATGCATAAATAAATAAATCTTTTTTTAAAAAAAGGTCAATATCATGAAACAGAGTGTCAGCTGCATGGTGAGGGAACTGGACTTGTAGCAGTGAACTTAATGTTGTATATACAGGTTGCTTTTTAATGGTATAGATCTGAAGCTTATGTTATAAAACAAGGTTAATCCAAATAGAAAAAAAAAAAAGAAATGAAATAAAGTGAAAAAGAACATGGAGGAACTGTTCTAGATTAAATAAGAGTAAAGAGGACAACTATGTGATCCTTGGTAAGATCCTGAGGTTTTTTTTTTTAAGAGGGAAAATGCTATAAATGATGCCAGTGAGACAATGTGGGAATTTTAAAGGATGTCGATAGATTAGATAATATTCAGTGTTAAACTTCCTGGGTGTGATTTGTTTTTTTTGGCAGAAAATGTCCTTGTCATAAAAGAAATGTGCTGAACTATTATTAGATACCAAGTGTCATCACTTCCCTAAGTTCCTTTCAAAGGTCTTTGCAGAAAGTGAAAATGTTATGTGCATGTATATATACATGCATATATGTATATGTACAAATACATTTCTTTTTCTATATTAAAAATAGAGCTAGGCAAAAGGATCAAAATATTAATAATAAATCTAAGTAAAGGATATGATATCCTTAATAAAGGATATCTAATAAAGGATACTGTTATTCCAAGTTTTCAGTAAATTTGAAAAATTTCAAACTAAAAAGTTGGGGGACAAATAAGGAAACAAACTGAAAGAAATGAATTTGGTCCTGACCTGAACATTTCATTCTTTGGGCAGTGTCTCCAGAAAGTCCAGTTTCTGTTGTCACTATTCAATTTACCTTTTGAAACCACATGAGCTGTCAGACGGGCGTTTCGGGTTAGATTTTAATATGCATCTGCCCAACAGGGCTATTATTCCATCAGCTATTTCACAAACCTGTCTGGGAAAATACCAGGTAGTTACACACAGCAGGTCCCGGGTGTCCACTGAATAGCACCCACTGTCGCAGCCCAGTGGCTGCTAGATCGCAGGTGCTTGGGTGATGTCAGCAGTGGTAACTCCATCCTGCATCTCGGGCAGGTCTCGTGCCCTGCATTCTGTTTACTGGGCAAGATATCCATCCGTCAGCTTTGCAGCAGAGCCCAACCTCACCCTTCAATCGCCACTGTTCTCCACCTTCTTGCCTTTTTATTTTTTTTTTTGAAGATTTATTTATTTATGCATACAAGAACGCAGTACAGGCCAGAGGTTTGGGGTGGGGGGTGAGAGGACCCACCAGAGACAGAGTGGGGAGCAGAACAGGTAGACTGACTGAAATACACTGCTGAGGAGAGCAGGGGGCGAGGCAGGAGAGGTCTGCTGCGCCATGTGGGTAGCTCCCTGGCGGGGATCAAACTCATGCTGCAGAGGCTGCAGATAGCTTCATATGTTGCATCTTAACCCCTTGCACCACCAAGGAGGCCCCCTCTTGCCTTTTAAATGTCTCACACAAGGGACAGCACCTTCCCCACCTCTCAGCCTGCATGAGCCCTCCCATTTCCCCCACCTTGAGAGCACTTAGGCCTTCTAGACTGTATTATAATTTCGAAAACCCATCACACCAGGTGCAGCTCAAGCGTCGGGGGCGGGGCCGGGAGAAGTTAAAAGCAGTGTCAAAGGTCTCGGAGGAGGCAGGAGTGGGAGGCTCGCAACAGGTCCGCAGAGTGGTTCCTAGAAAGAGACGCCGGTGGAGAGGGTGGCTGCGGCCCGGGGTGCCAGCACACAGCCTCGAGGCAGCGGAGTCGGCCACACAATGGAAACCCGGGGCGCGGGGTTCCCACGCCCGTCCGGACCGCAGCAGCCAGGCGCACCCCGCGCCGCTCCCCGCGGGGACCGCGGCCTCCGGGCCTCTGTCGCCCTCAAGTTCAAACTCCAGAGACCAAGACCAGCTCCGAGGGTGGCGGAGCCCCCCACCTCACCGGGCCGCCCCCCCTCACGGGGCCACCCCCCAACTTCGCCCCGCCGCGGGCTCCGGTGGCCCCGCCCGATCGGACGGCCGGGAAGCGACGGGGAAAGGGGCTGATCTCCCCCAGCTTTCCGCCGAGGGCGCGGGGCCCGCCCCTCGGAAGGCAAACGGACCCCGCCGGCGGGGCGCCGGCCCGCGGGGGGGAGGGGCGCCCACCGCCCGGCGGCAGCGGCGGGCGCGCAGTGCGCAGGCGCGGCAGGGCCAGTACCTGGGAAGGAGCAGAGAGACGTGGAGTTGGGGCACTGGGTCGCGTTGCCCACCTGCTTCACCAGCTTCAGGCTGACCATCTGCTGCAGGAGCCCGGTCGACCCGCCGCTCCCGTCGTGCTCCATCCCGCCGCCATGCACCGCAGAGAGATGGGGGAGAGCGCCCGAAGTGCTGCCGAGCCTCGTTCTCACTCGCGGCCCTTGCGGCTCCCCGCACCTCGGCCGCCTCGGCGTCACCTTTGGGCAAGGCCCGCTTCCTCGCACCCCAACGGCGCTGCCAAGTGATGGTTCTTTCCTCCAATCACAGGGCGGCGCGGATGGCAGGGGCGGGGCGAAGGCTGTCGCGCCCCTGACGTTGCGTAAGCTCACCGAGACCCAGCACCCGCGGGCTACGCCGCCTACTGGGGAAGTCTCACCGGCTCAGGGCTGCCCTTCTCTGCAGCGCCACCTAGAACAGGTGGTGGCATTGCATGCCCGCCACCAGACCCAGGATGCCTACTTAAAAGGGAGCGAGATGAAAATACATACATTGTGCAAAAATGAAAAATGATGTAAAAAATAAATGAAATGAAATAAAGAAAATAAAAGAATAGAATAGAATAGAATAGAATAGAATAGAATAGAATAGAATAGAATAGAATAGAATAGAATAGAATAGAATAGAATAGAATAGAATAGAATAGAATAGAATAGAACAGACGGATCTGGCAGTGAGAACAAGATTCATGCAGGCAAGCAAGGAGAGTGGACGATAACGCAGCTATACTTGCAATTTCTGAAGGAAAAATGATATTTTAGCTTAACTTGAAAGTAAACATGTGTACAAATAGGTGCAATTTTCCTTTTAATTCAAGAACATAAGCCAAGATTGTTTATTAGTTTCCTCTTGAAGCCTATGTTTTGACCCTTTCTAAGGTCAGTTTTTTCATAATACAACTGGGATTCTATATCTACCAAGAAACGTATCTAAAATGAAAATAGTAAGTATAAAAAGGTCATGTGATCTTTAGTAATGCTGTCTTGTTTTTTTTCCAGACTGGTAGAGTGTGTAAGTGGATGAAACCAATTTTAGGGTAATGTAACAAGTAATCACGTATCACATTATAGGAAACGTTATTTTGAATTTAGAATTCTATCTCAATATTATGAATTGAGAGGTTAAAAAAAAGACATTTAGACTGACAGGACATGAAAATTGTATTTCATGTGCCCTTTCTAAGAAAACTGAGTAAGTGTTCAAGTGAAGTTAAAAAGTGATTACCAAGAGTGGTGTGCAATACAAGAAATGATGGGTTTAACCAGTACTGTTGTCAGGAAGACTAATGGAATTAATTTTAAACTATAGACAAAATGGTTATGAAGTCCACGTTTTTAATGACAGGGTGAAGAGGGTACCCATTCTTTTTCTCAATAGGAAAAAAAAAAAAAACCTGAAAGGCAATACAAACTCCAGGAAAACCCTGCAAGAAAATTATGAAACAAATATAAACAAATAAAAGCCGGGTTAATGTTTTGTTTTTCTTTATAAATCCAACCCCCTTTTCACACTGGTTTCACTTATTGTGAGAGGCATAACTGTAAAACCTATAGAAGACAATTGAACATCTTTATGGTCTCAAGAGAGTGAAGGGGCTCTTTAATATAAAAAGCAAAGATCATAAAGGAAAGGCTCACTACTACTTTAAGAACCTGTGTAATTCAAAAATTGCATAAAGAAAGTAAAAAGACAAGTCACAAATTGGGAAAAGATGTTTGCAATACATATAACTGACAAAGGAGTATCCAGAATACATAATGCACTCCTAAAAATCAGTAAGGAAATGACAAAGAGACAAACTACTGAATAAATGTTTCATCAAAGAGAAAATAACAAATGATCAGCAAAAATAAAGATGTTCTACTTCACTGCTAATCAGTGAAGCATAAAATGAAATCACATTGAAATATAATTTGTCAACCACCAATAGCCAAAAATTTTAAAGTTTGAGAATGCTAATTATTTATGCTAATTGTTTATAGTTTAAAATAACTTGAAAGAGGTGTAAATTAATATATTTTGGAATAATGTTGACTGAAAATGCTCATGATTCAGAAAATTCACTCCCAGGTGAATAATCTATAGCATTTGTACCAAGAGATCCATGCAAGATTGTCCCTGTTCACCTTACAACAGGCAATAGCTTAAAACAACTCAATGCCCATTAAAAAAATAATGAATAAGGAAAATTCTATTATTTTCAATAATATGCTATTAAGTACTAAACCAAATGACCCAACGCTGCTACATCAGGCTGTATTCCAGGAACATAAAGTCGAAAATCTCAGTGGCATAAGGCCACAGTGTGATTCAATATCAGAGGATCATGCTACTGTGATCTGGGGCAAAGCTAAGTTTTATGGAACCTGAAGCTTCAACTTCAGGGTCAATATATTGCTGCTCCCTGCAAGAGGGAGAAAATGTCAGAACGTCTGCTTTGCAGCAAGGATGTGGATCCACAGTCCAGGTCACAACAATTCAAGGCCATGAATCAGAAGCTAGCAAGCTCCAGAACCCCTCTGGCGAGGGCAACAACAAAAGCAGCTACCTCATTTCCAGAGGTAATGGGGAGAGTAGTTCTGGTGGCCAAGGTCAATCCCCAAACTAACTCTGCCCCAGTGGGGTCTGGGGGGGTATTCTGTTGGCAAGGATTCAAATCTGCTTCTCTGTCCTCAGATCCTCCCACCCCATTCTTTTAAACATTTACCAAGTACTTGCTGGCTCTGGTCTCCCAGGCTCAGGACTAAGCCCCTCTATATCCAGCACCCCTTTCATTAAGTCGCTGCCAGAGCTAGTGATTGTGGTTTGCAGCTATGAATTGTACTGCTTTCCTCCAGGGTGTGTCTAGGAAGGCTAGAGAGAAGACAGAAGCACCCCAGAGCCTTGTTTCTTCTAAGCTCACAGCAAATTCAATCTAATGACATTCATCACCCTGTGACCTGTCCTCCAGGCACCGATCCCGACTGCCTACCTCTTGCAGTCAGTCACTTGCTTTGCCTGGCTTGCTGTCCTGGCCTCCCCAGTTTCCCTTCCTCCACCTTCCCTCCTTGCTGCTTCCCTCCAGGCTTGTCTAGGAGGTTCTCTGGTTTCTGCAGTCTGGACCCAAAGCTCACCATATCCTGTCTCCTGCAGGTGTGGCCCCAGCCGTAGCTGCTTCCTCTTCTCTAGGGCAAAGAAATTGGCACAATCTGACCCTTCTGTGTCCAGCAGACCAGTCTATGCAAGCTTGATTTGCCATTTTCTCCCCATTGCAGCCCAGAGCAAAGCCTCCTCTTCCACTCCCCCCCATCTCTTACCACATCATGTGACCTTGGACAAACCCTTTTACTTTCACATTTTGCCTGTCAAACTTTGCAGGCTGTAAACTCTAATCTGTCTTACATGGGTTAGTTATATTTGTTTCTTCAGGTGGGACCTCTCCTGTCAGGATGAATCAAAGGTTCACTTTTGGGGGAGCAGTGTGGGGGTGCAGAGGCTAAAGGGCAACCACAGGATGAAAGGCATCTTGTCTGATTTCTTGGTGAAGGTATAGGTCAATATAAACACCAGGGACTTTGATGGGGTGTGGTGCCACCCGCATGGGGAGTATGGAGTCCAGGTGTGTGCGGTGCATGCACGAGCACGTGTGTATGTGTTGGGGGAAGGCAGAGGGAGATGGGGGTGAAGATGCTCACACTTCAGGGGTCAGCCACTGTTGTGCCCTACACTTCGGGGGGAGCGACCACCCTTCTCAGGTGCTGGGTGTGTGCCAAGGGAGGAAATAGCTAAGGGGAAAAAGAGCACCTGAATAGGAGTCAGGTCCAGAGGAAGTGGGGGCCCGAGTTTTGCCTTCCATAAAGAATATGCCTGATAGAACCCAGCTCCAAAAGGGGACTCAATGGAAAGTCAAAAAGGAGGGGGAAAGAAGCATAGCATTTGGGGACTCATTCCTTTCCTGCTACAGGGGAGGGCCCCAAGCTCCCCCACTCCGGCCGTGGTATGTACTCTGCCCCACGCCCCCGCCCCCAAACACACTGGCTACCTCCCCGCCATACATACTAGTCTCCTGACCATCGTGACCGCCACAACCCAGGCTCAGCTAAGGCCCAGGGTGTGCCGCAGTGGACGACGCCCAGCTGAAGCTGCTGGGGCCGCGTGGCAGCACCAGATCCAGGGCTAAGTCGCGCTGCTCCTCCTCGGAGAACACCGGTCGATAGCCCAGCAGCTGCAGGGCGCCCGCACACAGCTCCTGCACCCTGCGAATCTTGGCGAAGGGCAGCGCGTGGCGCCAGGCCTGGGAGACATTGAGCGCGTCCCTGGACGTGGTCTTGAAGGCCTCACGACGCGCGCCTGGCCCGGATCCATGCGTAATGTTGTGGATCCAGGCTTCGAGCTGTGGCGTGAGGCTCAAGCCCGCGAAGGCGTAGAGCGCGCGGATCTCAGGCAGTGGAGCCCGCGCCAGATCCTCGAAGCGCACCAGACGGTAGCGGCCGCTCAAGAAGGGTGGTGGTTTGTGCAAGGCGGCCTCGGCTATGCGCACATGGCTGCGGCACACCTCGCGCACCACGCGCAGGCCGGGGTCGGCCTCCACCCAGGTGCCATTGGTGCCCAGCACGATGCCGTTGTCGCGAGCCAAGGCTTTGGCTGTCTGCTCGCGGGAGCGCAGCACCGCCCGAGGGTCGCGCACCAGATGCACGATGCGCAGGTTGAGCGCGGGATCATTGAGCAGCGGGTAGAGCACCTGCAGGTTAAAGAAACGCACCTCCTTGAGCACCACGTGGCTGTAGGAGTGGCAGGCCTCCTGGGCCAGGCTGAACGGCCGCCGGGCACACAGCGGCTTGCACACAGACTCGCTGCTGATGGCACCGCGTTGGAAGGCGCTGCAGGCTGGCGGCGAGCACAGCGCGCGGCTCACCGCCCACTGGAAGAGGTCCGACAGGTTGCGACGCCAAGGCAGGTAGGCATCGAACACGTCCATGTCGCACAGGAAGACGGAGCGCACCAGATCGCGCACGGCCATGTGCAGCGCCGGGGCGCTGCCCTGCGACAGAGCGGCCCAGACGTGCCAGGCGGGTTCCATCAAGTAGAAGACATCGGGGTGCTGGCTGAAGAGCTGGCCCACGAAGGACGAGCCGGAGCGCCACGAGGACAGCACCAGCACATGCACGCGCTCCTCGCTACCGGCTGGGGAGAGAGGCCTGGGCCGCGAGACCAGGAATAGCAGGAGACCGGTCTGTGCCAGCAGGAGAGCGGTCACCGCTGTGCTGGAGACCCGGGGCAGCCACATGCCGCTGGCCACGAGCCTGGGGAAGAAGACAAAGCCCTTCGTCACAGTGGCTCCCTTGGCCATCCCACAGCCCAACTCCTACCCAGGCCCGGCAGGTAGCAGCCCTGGGATTCTACCAGCCCACGTGGGGAGTTGCTAAAACCACAAAGATCTCAGGCGGGCTGTCTCCAGGGAAATTCAAAGGATGGTATAAGCCATGACCAAGTCCATGCAGAGCAAAAGGCCAGCTGCAAAACACTGTGGGAAATGTTTCTTTGTACCTACCTGTCTGGAGAGGGAAATATTTTTCAGAGTTTCTGCCTTTTGCTGAAAATTTCCTTTAAGGAATTTTAGACTGAACAGTTTGATGGGTGATTTCGCGGATGGAAGCACATCGCCTGTTTCCCGCAGGTTGAATCTGGGCTCTGCCACTTCCTAACCTGTGATCTTGGATCAAACACTTCATCTCTCTCTGTGACTCAGTTTACCCAGTGGAGAAAGAGGATAAAACCAGAACTGGAGTATTGGGATTGTAACAGGGTGGTCCCCAGGAAAGGGGGAAGTTCCAGGTTCCCTGCCCCACCCAAGGGAGGGTGGAGCTGAGCAGGAAGAGAAGAAGCTACAGAAGAGACTGAGGAAGGAAGCAGGATGGAGCCAGGAGACCTGGAGGAGGCCCATGGAGCCTAGAGACACGTGAAGAAACTGCGCTTGTCTTTGGGTCGTGGACTGGGTGACACAGATGTGGGTGAGACCCGTGGAGAGATGACAATGGCAGCTTTTATCTTGATGTTGATTTTGCTCTTTTCCTTCCGGGCTTGTCTGGTTGTTTCTGATCCTTTTCTGTGGGTCCCCACTGGAAGATGCTTTAGACTTGTAGCAGGCTTTGGGGCCTTGTTCTGGGCCGATCCCATATGGATGGACTTTTACCCACGAGGGGATGGGTAACTTTGGGTGCTTCATTTAGAAACTAGACTCTTTGCCTTACCTGTATTGTTTCCTAGTTTAATTAAAGTTCCTTCCCATTAAAGTCTCCTATGTTTTGTGTTGATGCGGCAGATGGCAGAACCCGTTTAGAATAGGCAGGTTTGCGGGGCTTGGGCTGCCCCTCTCCCTGTCCTATAACAGATTGAAGATACAATGATTCCCACAACTGAGAACTTGCATTTTTGGCACAGAGATGGCATGATTGTTTTTAAACCAGCAGCTGCAAGTTTTTTAAGGGTTTCTCTCTGGAGCTGTGTGGGTTTGCAGAAGAAACCAGTGACAGGAGTGGAGCGGTGGTGCCAGGGGAGATGAGAGGGGAGAACAGAGCCAGGCCCCTTGCCTTGCTGAGTTACTCACTGCTGTTGGGGCTGCTTGGAGAGTAGCCCAGGTGGATCACAGATCCATAGGAAATGCCTGGAAGGGCCTCAGGGCCTGGGGAAGTAGGAGGGGGCTAGGTTAGAGCCCAGGGGCAGTTAGTCCTGCACCTTGGGAGGGACCCTGTTTCCAATCTGAGAAAGTTCCCCACCTTGAGGGCAGATCTGCCCTGCTCCTGACCTGAGCTGGGTGCCCCTTAGAAACATTTTCCCAGATGGATGTGAACTGCCCAGCTCTCCCTTTGAGTCCCTTCTTGCCACTTAAGAGCTGAGCTCTGGGACGAATGCCTTGAGTTCTCCAGGACTCAGTTTTCTCTGTAAGATGAGGCTGCTAACAAGTGCTTTCGGTCAGTCTGTTAGGGGGAAATGATAACTTTGTCTCCCACTTTTCTCCCTGAGCTGTACATTTCCTCATTTCCCCTTCCCTTGTAAATAAACCTTTTATTAACCTTTCGCGTGTGCCTGCAGTAGAGCATGGATAAGTCCTTTTAAGCGTGTGGGTAAGGATCCACAGTCAGGCACCCCGTTTTGTATGGGGCTGCTCTACAACAAGTCTGCGTGATCTGTTCCCCACTCTGTCTCTGGTGAATCCTCTCACCCTCCCATACCTCTGGCCTGTACCCCAGCTCTTGTATAAATAAATAAATCTTTAAAAAAAACATGAGGCTGCTAACATGTAAGCTCTCTGGTTGCTGTGAGAAATGCTGCTCCCACTATGCAAAGAAAGGGTTGCTAAGGTGCAAAGACCCTAGAGTTTTTCTCCTCTTTGTACCTGTTGCTCTCACAGTGCTCTCAAGAATGAGCTGCTTTGGAAGAGAGGGGCCTGAATGTTTCCTCCTGCTCTCAAAGCATTTTCTCCCCCCAAAGCTCCCTCCCCTGTGGGTGCCACCACTGAGAGAAGCCAGGGTCTGCATTGTGGGCAGATCCCCTCTCTGCTGCTTCTGCTTGTGAGGAGGCTATAGGAGTGGATGGAGGACCCCCAGGATCTATCCCCGCTGTCTCCAGGATCCCATGCTCTTGCCTGGAAAAAGCTGGAAGACAAGGAGAGAAGCTGCCGATGTTCGGCACATGTCTTCTCTTGAAGTTGTGTGCTCCCCGCTTGCTACAGCGTGCAGGAGAGGACGGCATATTACAACTCACACTGGCTGATACAAGTTACAAGTGCCAGATGCTTTCCACCCATTCTCGGAGCTGGGCATTATGATTTCTACTCTTTAGGCCAAGGACCCAAGGCTTGGACAGACAGTGGGGCAAAATGGGACCCCAATCCAGAACACCCATTTCTAAGTTCCTGGCACCTTCTGATCACAGGTGTTGGCTTCTCCCTCCCTGGGAGATCCCTGCAGCACACTGGGCCCTGATGTTTGGCCCAAACCCAGAAGCCCTGGCCAGCCCAGTCCTTCCCTGGGGAGGCAGGATCCTGAACCCAGGCCAAGGTGTCTGTTACCTGCTCTCCAGGGAAGCCAGAGGTTTTCTTAAGCTACTCACACGATACAGGAACTGTGACTTGATCCTGTTATTGGAACTCAAGAACTAGGAAAGGGATTGAAACATTGCTTACCACACAGGGTATGCAAAGAAGTCCAGATCCCAAGTGGGAGTTTCGATAAAGGAAAACTATGTTCAGCACACCCACCCACTGCCCCAGGGTCCAAAGTTAGGACGAATATGGCAGGTAGGCGGCGATTAGGTGCCTAATCTCTGTGACAGGATTTTCTCCTCCCAACCTCCCTAGGGGATAGAAATGATCCCGGTCTGTTTTAATTGAGGCAGTGGGGTTCAGAGACAGGGATACTCAGTAAGCTTCAGGGCAAGGATTTAACACCAACTGCCAACCCCCCAGTATAGTGCTCTGGGATGGGCCCCATTCATAAACCTCAAAGAAGCCCCCATTCTGGAAGGCTTTTCCCTCCCTACCCCCAGTAGCTTTTATTTTAAATTCTTTGGGAGCCTATATGTATTTTTTATATTTAATTTGGGGGCAGAGGACCTCCCCGGTGGTGCAGGGGTTAAAGTCTCAGTACTATCAAGCTATTGCCAGCTACTGTGACATGAGTTCGATCCCCAAACAGGGAGCTGACCCATATGGCATGGAAGACCTCTCCTGTCTTGCCCGCTGCTCCCCTCAGCAGTGAATTTCAGTCAATCAGCCTGTTCTGCTCCCCACTCTGTCTCTGGTGAATCCTTTGACCACCCCCTGCACCTCTGGCCTACACCTCAGTTCTTGTATGCAAAAATAAAACAAAATAAATCTTAAAAAAAGAAGAACAACAAAACACTTTGGGCAGAGATGGCTAGCATCTACCCCAAAGTTCTAAAGGTGCAGATAAGGACTCATGGGCTCATGTTTTATTTGTGAAAATTAGAAAAGGGGCCATCCGATGGCAGACACAGCTCAGCCACACAACAGAGTGCAAGGAAGTGACATTCTCTGTCTCCTGGGCCACCCAGAGACCCTCCTGGGAAGCAACCCTGCCTCCAATTTCCACCAAGTCTTAGATGGTGATGATGAAAACAATCATATATTTTCAGGGAGGCGGGAGGGAGTAAAGAACAAAAGGCCAAAGAAGGAATAGAAAGTGTCTTCTCTTAATCTGATACCTAGAACTGTTGTAGAGCAACCCCGATACAAAACGGGGTGCCTGACTGTGGGTCCTCACCCGCGCGCTTAAAAGGACTTATCAATGCTCTACTGCAGGCACACCCGAAAGGTTAATAAAAGGTTTATTTACAAGGGAAGGGGAAATGAGGAAATGTACAGCTCAGGGAGGAAGGTGGGAGACAAAGTTTTAAATGAATCCTACCCAATCCGCCGATCAGGAATCCCAAAATGGCACTCTGAGAGCTGGCCGCCAGCCAGGAGCCCGTGAAGCCAGGAGGTCAGCGACAGCGAGCCACCCCAAGGCCCACGTGTTTGGTTTTTATATCCAACCTGGCTGCCCAACTCCACCCTCAGGTCCCAACCACCTTCCCTTTGGTGGTGATGGGATTTGTCTTTCTCAATGTCTTGATGGCTTTGGTCTGGAGTGGGGGTGGAGTCCACAAAACCTGTATGGGATTAACTCAGGACATCCTTTCCCCCTAACAGGACCACCACACAGAGTGGACTTTCTCAAGTCATTGAAACTTTTTTTTGGCCATAAATTATGTGGAAAATTAAATTTTGTCAATATAATACACATAGCTAGAATAAGCTAAGTTATCCCTGGAAATGTATACAAGGAAGTAACCATATTAGTTTTTCTAAGAGAGGAGGGACATAAAATAGCTGGAGAAAGGACATTTCACGATAAATCCTTTTTGAACATTTGAATTTTGACTCACATGAACCTATTTCCTATTTATAATAACTAAATATTAAAATAGTTTTGGGCCTCCCCTGGTGGCGCAGCAGTTGAGCACTGGGTTGCGAGGCTGCCTGCAGCCTCTGCAGCACCAGTTTGATCCCTGGCCACCGGCAAGGGTCCCACAAAAAAAAAAAAAGTTTCAAATACACATAGTTTAAAAAATCAAACAGTTATCATAGTGTTGTTGTAGAGCAACCCCGATACAAAGGACATCCTTTCCCCCTAACAGTGTCATTCTCTTGCTCTAGAATCCTATTGAACCAGTGGCAACCACTTTCAAATTTGTTAGCTGTTTCTTTTGCTAATGATCTTCTTTTTTTTAAGATT